TTGCATAAATTAGCCTACAAAGTTATTATTTTTAGTATTATTTAGTAAAATTGGAGTGGCTGGGGTTGTGCTTTTTTAAAATCACATCTGCTTAGCTAAAATAATTTTACTTTAATATTGCTTGAGTCATTGTTATCCTCTCCTTTTCACTAATTATAGACCAAGAGAGCTTGAAGACAGTATCCCTTATAATTTTACTATTTATCATAATATGCTTGTATTTTAGTTTGTCTGGTAATCATGATAACACATGAATCATTTAATTAACTCCTTTAAATATATTTGTTAAGCAATGCAGGAAAGATTTAATTAGTCAAGTATTACAGAATTTTTTGAAAGTCTGTCTTTAGAATGTTGAATATCTTTCTGAGAAACTATTTTCTAAATGAGTTAATTTTATACTAGATTCCTACTGTATTGCTAGGTTTTAAACTTTATAAAAGGAAATCATAGATCATTTATAAATGATTTTTTTGCTATTTTTAAATGGTATTTGTTTTATGTTTAATTTCACAGGAAATTTTGGTAGACACACTTTAGAAAACTTTTTTTTTCCCCAAAGTCAGAGCTTCTATCACTTCCATTGTAGTAGTATTTATCATCTTTTCTCTATATTTATTCATCTTTTCTCTATATTCTAATCCTATAGAAATTGTGCACATGAAAGTGGTTAAAATAGACAGGTTTTTTTTTTTTTTTTTTTTTTGTACTAGGGATTGAACTCAAGGGTACTGGACCACTGAGCCACATCCCCAACCCTATTTTGTATTTTATTTAGATACAGGGTCTCACTGAGTTACTTAGCACCTTGCCATTGCTGAGGCTGGCTTTTGATTCTCCTGTCTCAGCCTGCTGAGCCACTGGGATTACAGGCATGCTCCCTGCGCCTGTAACATTTTAATTCATAATCAGAAATGAGTTTAAGAAAGAGCAATATCCAGGCCCACTTCACCTTAGACTTAATAAATCAGACAATCTCCAGGAAATATATACATACTGGAAAAGCTCCACAAGTGATATATACCAAACACTGGGAACTATCCTAAACATTTCTTGGTTTTCTACCTTTGGAAAGCAGTTAAAAGAAGCTCTTGAATATAATTTTCCATCTTTTAGGGGACTTTGAGTTGCCATTTCTTAGCTAGAAACACCATCATGTAAAAAGGAGTCATAGTAAAATAAGAAATTTAAATTCTAGGGCTGGGTTTGTTGCTCAGTGGTAGAGCACTTGCCTAGCATGTGCAAGGCCCTGGGTTCGATCCTCAGCACCACATAAAAATAAAATAAAGATACTGTGTCCAACTACAAAAAATATTTTTTTAAAAAAAGAAATTTAAATTCTAAATTTTCACCCACTGTTTTTGAATAATCATTGAAATTTAGTTATTGGAGCAGTAATTTCTTGACACCATGATATAATCTACTCTTCTGTCCTCTGCAACCCCTGCCCCCATTCATTCAAGTAAAGTTTGATGTATTTAAGAAAGCAGGTAATTACAGTGTAAACATAGTAACTTTTTGGAACTAGCGTATTTAATTTTGAGAAGGGGATAGTAAACACTGGAGGTGAACATCCTCTGATTTGGATAAAATATCTGGCTAGTATTTCAAATGTTGGAACAAATACAAAATGTGTGAAGATAAAAAATAAGATAAACTCTACCCTTAAGTATAATCATGGAAAAAGCCAGCCTTACTATAACTAGCAGTAAAATAAGCCAGAATGTTGAGTGTTATGGTAACAGAAGGCAAGAAAGGAAATGTTAAGCAGTAAGTGGGTGTTAAATAGAGAAAGGGCCTTTGCCCACCTGGATAGACAAACAGGAAATGGCTGAAGGGAGGAAGTAGCACGAAGCTGACTGAGGAGTGAACTAGGAAGAATGGAGAAGTATTAAATGAATAGATACAGGAGTGAGAGAAATGTCCAGCATTGTACCCACACTGATTTACCTGAAATAGTCCTCTACCAGTGTCTGCTAAAGCAGAGGCAGATAGCCAGCTTTATAACCCATGATCTCACCCAGCAACCCCAGTTGACTTCTGGAGCTGCATTTGTAACACGATTCTATACTTGTGACCCCCATCTACTGGACACCTTAAGAAACAGTTCCTGGACCGGACACCTGGACAGACTCTTTCTCAAGAATTTGAGCCATAAAATTCAGACTGTCAAGAAATAATATATGTTTGGGGAGCCAAGAGACTGCTCCAGAGAGGAAGGAGTGGCCCTGGTTTTGGGCTTTGCAGTCCCATGCCTGAGGAGGGGTCACAACAGTGCTTCATTTCCTCCACTGGATGCCAGTGATTTTGACAGTTGTGTCCTTGCATTAAATCCCCTTTTTCTCAAATGGGCTTTAGAGTATCTGTTCCTTGGAGTCAGACAACCCTAAGTTGGACTCTTGATTTTGAATACTTGGTGATTGAGAAGATGGTGATACCATCAACCGTGAAAGAAACATAAGGAGTAGGTCTGGAAGGTGATCTTGGATATATATTTGATTGGTACTGGGATAGGCATGTGAAAATGTCTGGCAATAGTTAGAAATCAAGCCTAGGAATTGTTAAATCTAGAAATGTAGATCTTGCAGCTCTATATGAGGCCAACAATAATTTATTGAAATGATGAAGGCAGCCTGGGAGATGATATGCGAGAATAAAAGATGAGGACCAAAAATTGAGGGAAATATATATAAAGTACGTGCAAAGACAGAAAAGGAGGTGAAAATAACAGAAAAACAGGAAGATATCCAGAGTTGTGCAAGTTTCTCAAATGGGACTTTACAGTGATCACAAGGTAGAATGCAAATCAGAGACATAATTGGGTTAGGGAATTGAAGCATGATTATCATTTGAGAAGGCAGCTGCAGTGTAATACAGTAGGAGCCAGATGGATACTATTTGAGAAGTAGATATTAAGACATAATGAATGAATAGTACTGGAGAAATTTGAAAGTGACAATGTGTAGAGTAAAGAACATTATTTGAAAATGTATACTACTTTATTCCATTTTGCTTTCAAATCTGAAAGGAGGAGTATAATATGATCTGTGACTATGTAATAAGCTATATTTAAGCTGGATCTTTTTGTAGTAACAGGAATTAAACCAAGAGCGCTCCACCAATGAGCTACATCTCCAACACTTTTAAAATTTATTTTTAATTTTATATTTTTATTTTGAGACAGACTAAACTGCTGAGTCATTGGGATTACAGGTGTGTACCACTATGCTTAGCTAAGCTGAGTCTGATAGCTGCCAAGCTTGGTGGTGCATGCCTGTAATCCCAGGGATGCTGGAGGCTAAGGCAAGAGGATCCAAGTTCAAGGTAGATCTCAGCAATTTAGTGAGATCTTAAGCAACTTAGCAAGATCCTGTATCAAGATAAAAAAGGACCAGGGATGTAGCTAAGTTAAAGTCTAAAGGAAATTATGAGTAAGCAGAGAAAGGCAATCTGTAAAGGAAGAAATGAAGTTTGGGGAGCCAAGAGTTAAATTCCCAGTCACCGTCCCCCCCCCCAAAAAAAAAGGATAATTGCTAAGAGGAAAATGGGAGACAGTTATACAATATGGTTGCAGATTTACTCATTATAATTAAGATGTGCAGAGGAAATGGAATTTTCTTACAGAACTGATATATCCTTCTTAAACCCTACCTATTGGTAAGTCCATAGAAAATTAACTTCTGATCTTAGCCAGTTGAAAACTTACCATATACTCTGATATAAAGGAGATATAAAATATAATAACTTAAGGTATCTAAAGTAATCCTTAATCTGCTAGGAAATGCTATCTGGCTTCTGCCTTTTTTGTCTCTCAAATTGTGTCCAGATGTATGGAGAGGGCTTACATGACATAATGGCATTAGTGTGAGGGATCTTGAGCTCTTCCATTCTTTGGGCATCCTACTGGCCTCTGATATAGTTAAGCAGTGGCTTTTAAAAATATATGATCAAGTCTTTCGTAACTCGGTCAGAGCCTGGTGGTTCTTGGCTGAACTGGCCTCACCTCCGTTCTCTTGGGTGTGGAGAAATCTCTGAGGCTCTGCCACCTGCAGTACTGTCTCAAGCAGTCTAATGTAGGTCAGGCTGCAGGTTTATCACATATGCCATTCCACAGTAGGCTCAGGAGAGCCCCGTTGCTTCCCCTTTAGTTATCTTATAAATCTCCCTCTCCAAAAATATAGGAACTTGTGGGTGCATTCCATACCATACAGGAATAGACAGTAGCCTGAGAAAGCAAACTATATTGCTAAAGACTTCTTTTAACATGGCTGTGTCTTAGCCTGAAAGGCCATATCTTTTCATAATCCTTTAGACTATTCTACTTCCAAGCATATGATAGAATACTTCAAAACAATTAAAAATGGACTACTGTACATTCAGCAACATGAATTGCATGTATATAATGTTGAATAAAAGAAGCCAGACACAAAAAGATTATATGATTCCATTTACATAAAGATAAAAAATCGGCAGAAAGACTCTGTAGTATTAAAAGTCAGTATAGTAGTTGTCTATGAGAGGAGGGTTGGAGGAGCTAGCAGCACTCACTTCCTTGGAAAGGGTATATATTTATATGCCTGTATTTATGAAATAGTTATTAACATCTATCTGTACCTAAATAGGATATATACATAGAATATTTTTTCAACTTCTGAACTTTGAAAACCCTTTAAATTCACTGGGAATTTGTCACCTGAAACCCTTTCTACCATTTTGTAAACAACTTTCAGTTAAGGTATCTGTAGTGACCTTTATTTGTATCCTGTTTCACTACTTGGTTATATTTTCATTATAAAAATAATTAGTACAGTTCTGGTTTCTTCAGGATTAAAATTTTAGTCTTTTTTTTTTTTTTTTTGGTGGTGCTGGGGATTGAACCCAGGGCCTTATGCATGTGAAGCAAGCACTCTACCAACTGAGCTATGTCCCCGGCCCTAAAATTTTAATCTTCATATTGTAAATTTTTTTTTAAATTACCCAGTTTTTCACAATGACAGCTATACAAAGTTTTACATATTTCATAAAAGTAACCTAATTTATGAAAGAGAATAGGACATAAATCCAACAGAAGTAATTACATGAAAACTATTTTAGAGCTTGCTTTTCAGAAATATGGACCTACTGAAACAACACAGCAAAATCTGCACTAGATGAGGGGCTATTAGCATCTCTATGAGTTGGTGTCCAGTAATAATGCTTTTTAAGGCCGTTGGAGACTTCTGCAAGATACACGTGTCCATCCACCACATATGGCTCCACATCTGTATTGTTTGGTTTTAGATGGCCCATTTGAATTAAATCTGAATATGCCTAGGATTTTTAGGAAAAATTATCATTAGGAATATAATTTATTCAACTTACAATGCTGAAACAAATATAAACATTTGATTTAGCCATGCTATTTTGTAGTTTAAAATACTCTTAACATGGTTGAATTTTAATATTTTCCAGGTATTTTTCATTCATTTAATTACAATGAAATTGTAATATTGCAAAAAAATTTTTTTAAGTTTTTAATGTATTAGGCATGTTTTGTCATTTTGTAACTCTTCAATTCCTTATACTAAGTGGACCAAAGGTTTCACAGTCAAATTTAAGTCTTACAAGGTGATGGTGCACTGAGTAGAGGGTTGTTTTGGTTGCTCTGAAAAATCTGATGATAGCTGGGGACCCATTCCTCAAAAACATTCTCAAAAACATAAAAAGGACTGAGGATATAGCTCTGTGATAAAGTGCCCCTTGGGTTCATAGTACTTCCCCCACCCCCCCAAAAAAGAAAAGAAAAAAAGTGTTAAGGATGTTGTTCAGTTCAGTGGTAGAGTACCTGCCTAGCATGCCCAGGATGTGGGTTTGATCACCAGCATCATCAAAATTAAGAAAAAAGATTTAAAGCTTTGTTTTGCTTTCCATATTTAGCTTGTCATTATCAGTGGTTCCAAAATCAACTTACATACCTTCTAGTTTATAGAACTACTAAAGGACATTGATGTTTTTCAAAATTTATGAGTGTTTATTAGACAGTAGTATGTATTTTAGTACCCTGTAAGTAGTGGAGTTTTGGTTAGTCCTTTTGCAAATTTTGAGAATTTTATCTTCTTTTTTTCCCCCAGTAATTCCTTATTATTTATTCTCCTCTTAGAAAGACACTTGGAAATATAAATATAAAATGGTATATATCATACTTAGCAATAGCCAAATACACATTTTCTTGGTATTCCCCGTAAGAATAAACTAATGAAATTTTCAGAAGCATGCTATACTCTATCCCTCTTACCTTCTTGAAAAAAAAAAAGGTCAATTCTTTCAATTCTCCACAATTTTTTTTTTGAGGGGGGTGAGTTACTAGGGATTGAACACCCAGGGGCACTTAACCACTTAGCCATCCCAAACCCTTTTTATATTTTATTTTGAGACAGGGTCTCACTAAGTTGCCTAGGGCCTTGCTAAGTTGTTGAGGCTGGCTTTGAATTTGTGATCCTCCTGCCTCAGCCTCCTAAACTGCTGGGATTACAGGGGTGTGCCACTGCACCTGGCTCCATGATTTTTAACAATGGAGTCTCAAATTAAGTAATCTAAGTCTATTGAGAGGCTAAAATATCTAAATCAACAAATTTTAAAATATTTGTATGTGGGCCAGGCCCGGTAGCACACGCCTATAATCACATTGGTTGGGGAGATTGAGGCAGGAGGATCACAAGTTCAAAGCCAGCCTCAGCAAAAGTGAGACATTAAGCAACTCAGTGAAACCCTATCTCTAAATAAGATACAAAAAAAATAGAGCTAGGAATGTGGTTCAGTGGTCGAGTGCCCCTGAGTTCAATCCCTGGTACCAAAATAAATAAATAAATAAAAATACACACACACACACATGTTCATATATATATATGTATGTGGCTGTACATCCACATACACAATGTATAATATCATGTTGCCAAGAAACTCCAACTAACAAATATTCTAAATAAGGTTTTCATTTCTTATATTTTGCATGAATAGATTCTGTTCTGTTCAAATCTGCATGGCAATTAAAACAAATTTGAGTGCAATATACATGTGTTTGTGTGTATGTGCGCGCACACGTGTGTATTCTCTTAAGACAAAACATTAAATACAGGTATATTTAGTATACATCTCCTTATATCTTGTAACCATTTCTGAGGCACATGTAAATAATGTCTGTTTTAGAGAAGTTCCAGAAAAGCCTTCATTGACGAAAAACTTACCACACATGTGGCCTCATCAAATTTGTTTCCCCAAATGTAGATATTAGATAATGTGGGATTTGTTTTCACTGACTGTGAAAGTGCAACAAGTCCTTCTCCCTCTATATTGTTGCTGACTACTGATAATCTGTAGAAAAACAAAAGGTAATAATTCTAGAAACCAGAAGTTCAACAAAGAAAAAAATGTGTAAGTTAGCAATAACATTTATTACAGCCATTTTCACATATAAAATCTCAGCATTACTCTTTAATGTTTTAATGTGAACAAAATATTGGCCATATAATTTCTAAAGTTCAAGAAACTTAAGTTTTCTTATCATATGCTTCATTTAATTAGGAAAGCTGCCTAGCTTTTAAAAGTAGTCTGCTTTATATTATTCAGTAAATGTTTGGGTAAATTGTAGATATAAGTCTGTATCATATTGAATGTTTCTGATTTTTCTATATAATTCAAGGTACATAATATAACCAACAAGAATTTTCTCATGAATTTTTCTTTCTTTTTTCCTGTGGTGCTGGGGTTTGAACCCAGGGCCTTGTGCATGCTAGGCAAGCACTCTACCAACTGAGCTATATCCCCAGCACCTCTCAAGGGCTAAACATCTAATATTTAAAAGGCATTACTTTTGAAAAATAGAAATTAAATATTTACTGTAACTTAGTAGGGAAAGATTTAGAAACTGAATCTTCACATTTTATCATAATTTAAGATTTAAGGAGTTTGAGATTAGTATTGTAAAAAAAAACATGTTTTTCTGTTAATGTGATTAAATATAAAACCATACTAACACTTTAAGACTTCTGTTGTGTAAAGTAAGAGTTTCACTGAGACAGTTTGCTCCTGCATTTTCTATTCTGTTAAAAGAAAGATCTAAAACTTCCAGGGTGGTATTGCTTTTCAGAACATCAGCCAAATACTCCATTCCGTCACGAGTTATTTTATTGCTGTGAAAGGAAAAATATTTGGTAATATTTGAAAATACAAAGTACTGCTTTGTTATTTACAGTAGTAAGATGCTTGAAAACATAATAAATAGTACTTTCTATTTTAGCTCACTCAATTTCCAAAAAAGTTAATGAATTTATAATATTGTTCCATATCTGATTAACATAACTAAATTATTCATTCAAGATATGAGATTATCAGGGACCTAGGAATTAAACCAGAGACCCTGTGTCTCATAGAAGAAAAAGTAGGCCCAGATCTTCATCATATCAGATTAGGCCCCTACTTCCTTAATAAGACTCCTATAGAACAAAAATTAAAATCAAGAATTAATAAATGGGATGGACTCAAACTAAAAAGCTTCTTCTCGGCAAAGAAATAATCAGTGGGGTGAATAGAGAGTCTATAGCTTGGGAACAAATTTTTATCACTTGCACATCAGATAGAGCACTAATCTCTAGAGTATATAAAGAACTCAAAAAGCTAAACACCAAAAATCAAATAACCCAATCAATAAATGGGCTAAGGAACTGAACAGACACTTCAGAAGATAATATATAATCAATCAACAAATATATGAAAAAATGTTCAACATCTCTAGCAATTAGAGAAATGCAAATCAAGACTACTCTTAAGATTTCATCTTACTTCAGTCAGAATGGCAGCTATTAAGAATACAGACAACAATAAATGTTGGCGAGGATGTGGGAAAGAAGGCACACTCATACACTGCGGGTGAAACTGCAAAATGGTGCAGCCAATATGGAAAACAGTATGGAGATTCCTTGGAAAACTCTGAATGGAACCACCTTTTGACCCAGCTATCCCACTCTTCCATGTATACCCAAAGGACTTAAAAGAGCAGCATATTACAGGACACAGCCACATCAATGTTTATTGCAGCACAATTCAAAATAGCTAAACTGGAACTAACCTAGATGCCCTTCAATAGATGAATGGATAAAGAAAATGTGGTATACGTACACAATGGAATATTACTCAGGAATAAAAGAATAAAATCATGGCATTTGCAGGTAAATGGATGAAGTTAGAGAAGATAGGCTAAGTGAAGTTAACCAATCCCCAAAAAACAAATGCTGAATGTTTTCTCTAATATAAGGAAGCTGATTCATAGTGGGATTGGGAGGGGAGCATGGGAGGAATAGACAAACTCTAGATAGGGCAAAGGGGTGGAAGGGTAAGGGAGGGGGCATGGGGGTAGGAAAGTCGGAAGAATGAGATGGACATCATTACCTTAAGTACATGTGTGAAGACACGAATGATGTGAATATACTTTGTATACCACCAGAGATATGAAAAATTGTGCTCTATATGTGTAATATGAATTGTAATGCATTCTGCTGTCATACATAATACATTAGAATAAAAAATTTAAAAAAGCAAAAAAAAAGATGAGATTATAAGAGACATAATAACAATATTATCTAAATTAATAAATATTAAGGCTTAGGATGAAAAGTTGACAATGGTTGCCTTTCCTAATCACTGGAAATAGTGTGTAACAAAATATCTCATGTACAACTTTTGATTTAGTAACAAGTAAATTATCACTTACCAGCTGATATCAAGGTAACGCAGGCTTCTGTTCAGATACAGTGCATCGCATAACTTCTGCATACCACAGTTTTTTATACCATGCTTACATATGTGTAGTTCAACAAGCCAGTGGTTTTCTTTCAACATGTGGCCTAGATGGACAGTGGACTCTTCCTGAAAATAGATAAAATCTTGTTTTTAAAATACAAATTTGAGGGGCAGGAGTTGTAGCTCAGTGGTAGAGCACTTGCCTGGCATGTGTGAGGCTCTGGGTTTGATCCTCACCACATATAAAAAATAAATAAAATGAAAGATCCATTTAAAAAAAAATACAAATTTGAAGCAATGCGTGTTTATTCCAAACATATGCTACTATTTAAATTAGCTTTTTAGAAATATATATATATATATATATATATTAATATTATATATATATATAATATAAATTTGTTTTGGAGTATAGTGGAGATTGAACCCAGGGCCTTATGCACACCAGACAAGTGCTCTACCACCAAACTAATATCCCAGCCCAAAAGTTTGAGACTTTCTTGCTAAGTGGCTCAGGCAGGCCCTGAACTTGTTATCCTCCTGCTTCAGCCACCATAGTTAGGATAATTTGACATGTACAATGATGCCAGACATGAGAAAGGTTATACTGTTTTTTAAAAAAATTTTTATTTATTTTTTAGTCATACATGACAGTAGAAAAAAATATGGAACGCTTCACAAATTTGCGTGTCATCCTTGCGCAGGGGCCATGCTAATCTTCTCTGTATCGTCCCAATTTTAGTATATGTGCTGCCGAAGCGAGCACAAGAAAGGTTATACTGTTTAAGACTATTAGTCTACTCAAAGTTGTATTTGGCCTTAAGAAAAAAAATCATCTTTGCCTCAAATCATATATTTATTTGTTTGTTTGTTTGTTTATTTATGCATGCAATACTAGGGGTTGAACCCAGGGGCATTCTATCACTGTTACATACATCCCCCTCCCTTTTTTAAATTTTTATTTTGAGATAGGGTCTTACTAAATTGCCAAGGGTCTTGCTAGCCTCAAATTTGTAATCCCCCTGCCTCAGCCTTCTAAATAGCTGGTATTACAGTTTGTGTCACAGTTCCTGGCTTGTACCCTCTTAGAAATAGGTATCAGGCACTTGTAAGATGCAGTGAGTAAGGATGTAGAAGAAGATGGAGAGTTTGATTTACAAAAACAATAATCAGTCATTTCATGAGGGAAAAAATAAAAATAATTGGTTCATCCTACATTAAACACGTAAATTCCCCTACTGCTGGCTGGACCCTCAAGAGTCTCTGAAACTTTCTTATATTCTCTGTATGTTCCTGAACTTTGCCCCTGATTTCTACTCTCTTTTTACTTATAGTGTTGGGGATTGAACCCAGTGCTCTAATACTAAGCTATACATGAAGCCCCCCCCCCTTTTTTTTTGTATGTTTCATTTTGAGACAAGGTCTTGCTAAATTGCCCAGGCTGTTCTCAGACTTATGGGTATGCACTACTAGGCCCAGTCCTGATCTCCACTCTTGATGGTTTTAAGACAAAATACAAAGACATTTCCAATCTTGATTTTACTTTTAAAATATACTCATTAACCCTGTGATATATTTGATTACTTTCCTTTTATATGCATGCCAAGAATGTGTTCTATTCTTGTTTTCTGATCACCAGAAGACTTTTTTTTTCATATTTTAAATTTCATAGTCTAGCTACTTCTAAGAAAAATTATATACATAGTCCCAACTAAGGTTTGAATACTAAGCATTTTAAGTTTTTAGAAAAATCGAAGCGTATCTTAAAATGAATGAGCCCAGGTATTTTGTGGTAAGAAATCTTAAGAATGCTCTGTAACATAAGTAGTTTTACAGTCACTGGAAATATTGATGATGAACATGGACAACTACATGTTCTTATTATGTATAAATACATTGAGATAAACTAAAAGTTAAAGGAAACAACATAGTAATAGCAAAATGTACATAAGTTTTATAATAATCAAAACTGTCCAGATGTTAGCTTTACCTTTTTCCTGGGCTATATGAATTTCAGCAAATTTCATCTAGCCCAGTCTCAATTTACTTTTCTGTAAAATAGGTGAAATTATGCTTCCCTCACAGAATTAAATAAGTCAACAAATAAGCTCCTGCCATAAAATAAGTATTCTATAGTAAACTGTAAATCATTTATTATTGTTCAGTTTTCCAAAATTCTGTATCTGATTTGTTGAAATTACTGAAAAGATATAACTAAAGAAATGCTGTGTAGTCTGGAATCTTAAAAAATGAAAACTGACCACTTACAGGTCCACTATTGCTCTGCTTCCTGCTGACAAGAGGACATAATACATTTTTGTGTTTGTACCTTGACTGCATTTTTAAACTAAGAAGCTTGAAAAAGGAACCATCTTTATTAAAGGAGAGAACTACTATCAGAAATAGTAAAGGATATTGTCCCCATTTGCTGAGTTTGTGACTTAATTTAGTTGCACCTGGCATCACTATTTATCTAAGCTTCCCAGATAATATCAATGAGCATCAAAGGTTAGGTCAACATTTACAACTTTTTATCTTATCATCCTGATTTTTCTATGGTAATGAACATTAAACCTTAAATGCAGTAGGTTTACAGGCTTTTATTTGGGAACAACACAGTATAGGAAAGAAGGTTTTTACTCTACAAATACTAAAGAGTGGACTAATGCCCTCTAGGATACATACAGTGATGTCTACCTTAGAAAAGAGAAGAGGCCTGAAGTATCAGGCTAGGCAAGAACATGGCCCCATATAGGAGCCCTGGGCTTTTAATATTTGTTCTCAGACAGATTTGTGATTAATGACACCACTCAACAAATTTAGAAGAGGGATTGCATCTAATGTGATTTCATATATTTAAACATACTTATTTCCTAAAAGATATAGTCCAAAAAATTTTTAATTTAACTGTCAAACTTGTCAGGTCCTCAATCTGAGATCCTTCCCTGCTGCCTCACCTCTCCCTGCTTTGATTTCAGTGACTTCCTTATCCTCCTGTGGCACCCCAAGCACATCATTCTCTAGACTGGTTGATTTCCCTCTACACAGACTGAAAACTCCTGAAGACAGGGTCATATGATTTGATCTTTTATCTCTGTCACCCTGCATTTTGTCTGGTTTAGGGTTGCATTCAAATATTTATGATTCGTAAATGAAGCAATTCATTGTGTGCCTACTTTGAGCCAGGTATTTTGCTGGTATTTAAAGCATTTTTAAAAGTATCTTTCTATTATTTGAGGATTCTGGGTGTCTTGTTGAACAGATTAAATTTCTGTTTATGAAACAATATGATATAAAACTCAAAAAATGTTAGTAAAGCAAAGTACAGAGGTAATTCAAAGGGAGAGATCTACATAGGCAAAGAATGCAAGATACACTTCTGAATGTGAAAAATAGTACTTAAAATATGGTTCTGAATTACTCATACTAAGGTGTAACTATCAGGTAGTTAATTTTAAGTTATTAAAAGAGCTTTGAACTTTGTTAAATTTCATTTGTATGTTCAAAACTCACTTAAATATTGAACTTAAAACATTAAACATTTGCACATTGAACTTTAATAAAGTTTATTTTTTGGACTATATAAAGTGCTTTTGGTGGTGCATGCATATAATCCCAGCAACTTGGGAGGCTAAGGCAAAAGAATCACAAGTTTGAGGCCAACCTTAGCATTTAGTGAGACCCTCAGCATCTTCCTGATATCCTGTCTCAAAATAAAAAAGAAAAAGGACTGGGGTCATAGCTCAGGGATTAACCGTCCCTGGGTTCAATTCTCAGTACTTAAAAGAAGAAAAAAAAAAAAGTGCTTTGGATATTTACTTTTCCTTTTAGCAGATATATCTCTTTTTATTTAGACCAATAAAAAAGGGGTTCTTATTCCTTTTTTAACTTTTTTAAAATTTAAAATATTTTTAAATTTGTTCTAATAGGTCATATTCTCTCTCTCTCTCAACACTATTTAAGTAAGTTTAAGCCACTCTAAAGTGGCTTAAAGGATATTTGTTAAGGAAAAAGAAGCCTGAAAGAAGCAACCATGTTTTTTCTATCTCCAACATGCACCTTAACTACACATAGGTTCAAGTTCAAACTTGCCAAACTGCTGTTCAGACACATTTTGCTGTTATTTGTTACCATGTTTCAAAAATACAATGCTTCATCACATTTCAACAAATAAAGACAGTTGACACTGGGCTCTTACATCCTGGCCTTTAATAAAACTTTTACCATATATTATTTTTGTCTTGAATGTTTTAACCCTATAGGTCTACTCATTCAGAGTTTGAGTTTCAAGAAAAAAAGACATTTGATGCTTAAATAAGCAATATCTAAAAGCATATTCAATTTTAAAAGTCTTATCAAGAATATAATAATTTTCCTTTTAAAAATTTCTATTTGTAAGTAGTAGTTTACAAAGATATAAGGATAATTCCAAAAATACAATGTATTCATACACTATAAACTTCACTAAGAACTTAGTTTTATTCACATGCTGTTATACTAGCTACCATCACTTTGAAAACATACCTGTTCCCCGTACAGTATAGGTCGGTTTAGGTTTATTCCTTTAATTGCTTGGTTTTGAGTTAGTACTGTTGCAAATGCTATCACATTTTGCATTCCCTAAAAAATAAACAGGAAAATTCATTAAGGAAACTGATACTATATAAATTAATATCTCTACATAAATATTTCAAGATCATTTATCTGAATTCTAATAAATCAAACTTTGTTTTTAAAAAGATTGCTCTTTGAATTGTAGGTTGATTGAATTCAGAAATCAATTGTTATTATAGTCTTCTTTCCCTGGCCTAAAACCTGTTTGCAACATGCACAAGGAGTTTCTTAACATTTCAGTATTCATTTCTTGGGTGTCTGACTCTAGTCTTGCTTCTTGGCCCTCAAGGTTCTGTGTGGGGTTCTCAAGATGTGGACCCCAGCTAGGGCTCATACTTCTTATGCAATATACGACTTTGCACAGGCATTCTTTTATGTTCATATAGCACATGAAGTCAAGCAAAAACCACATTTTTCATTATCAGGCTCAGAGTAGCTTTTACCATCCTAGTATTTTTCTTTTTTTTTTTTTTAGCATTATTTTAAATTTTTATGGCATAATGTAAATATTACAAAGTATTTTCAAAGTAAAGGAATTTGTATTATACTAGAGAACTAGTATTTGTTTAATTAAAATGAACATGATTGTTTTCTTCAAAAATCCCTTACAGGTTAAGATGAGTATGGACAAAAGTTTAGGAATATTTTTATTATACTGTATATTTTTCTATGATATTTACTATAATCTGATTTTATTAACAGTCTATACTATTATATCAAGGAAAAAAATCCCACTTTTTCTCTTATTTTAGACATTAGGGACAAGATTAACAATTCATAAGACTGCCATTTGACTGGTTTCTTGGATGGTTCTCTATGCTGATTTCCCGGGAGAATAACACATTATCTTGGTGATTTTTTTCATAAACAATTTACTCACCAGGTCACAGTCACCCAGATCTAATTTCTCTAAGGATGAATTAATTTGCAGCATTGAAGCAAAAAACATTCCACCTTTATTTTCAATCTTATTTCCAGTCATTCGCAGATATTTCAAAGTTGTATTCTTCTAAAAAAGAAAAGAATCAAAACTTATTTAACTCTTTTTGGGGGGTACCGGGCATTGAACCCAGGGGCACTCAATCACTGAGCCATATTCCCAGCCCTATTTTATTTTTTATTTAGAGACAGGGTCTCACTGAGTTGCTTAGTGCCTTGCTTTTTCTGAGGCTGGCTTTGAACTCACGATCCTCCTGCCTCAGTCTCCCGAGACACTGGGATTACATGTGTGCACTGCTGCGCCCAGCTGTTATTTAACTTTTTAATCCATGGAATTCTCTAAATGAGTTAGGAGAGGGAATATTACCATTTATAAACACATGTAATCTTCAAGGAGATAGACTAGGATATTCCTTAAAGGTAATACTCAATTTCCAACAATAGATAAAAATCTACTTGTAAAACGAATGACCAAGAAACAGAAGTCCAGTCAATAACCAGTAAATAAAACACATTTTAATAAACTTTCCTTTCATTGAAAATATAAATTTATTTTCTAAGAAATTATACCACTTTTTTATAGAGGTGAAATCCACATAATGTAAAATTAACCATTTTAAAGTATACAGCTCAGTGGCATTTACTACATTCCCAATGTTGTGTAGCTATCATTTGTAGCTAGTTCCAAAACATTTTCATTACTCCTAAAAGTAGTCCTGTACCCATTCAGCAGTCATTTTCCATTATGCCATCACTTTTTTGTTGTTGCAATGTTAAATTCCTAACTCCCATTTTAAAGCAATATAATTTCTCAGACACTTGCAAGATTTAATTCCATTTCTTATTCCACTCTTGATTAAATAACAAAATTATAGATATTTCATTATTCTAATGAATACATGTTAGGATATATAATAATGTAAATAATTATCTGTTTAAAATGATTCAAACTCCTTTAAGATCAGGAAGAAGAGAAGTGTGTCTGTTCTGGTCACTTCTATGTAACACTGTATGGAAAGTTAGAGCTAGGGAAATTTGGCAAGAAAAAGAAAAAAAATCCAAATTAGAAAAAATGCTTGGATATGACATGATCTTGTACTGAATATGAAACCCCCTAAGGAATCCACTAAAGAAATGCTGTTAGAACTAATAAACAAATTCAGCATAGGATACAATATCAAAATACAAAAATCAATTGTATTTCTATACTCTAGCAATGAACAACCTAAAAATGAAGTTATAAAAACAATTTCACTTTCAGTACCATCAGAAAAAAATAAAATATTAATAAATTTAACAAAAGAATAGCAGACCTGCACATTGCAACCTACAAAACACAGTTGAAAGAAATTACATGGAACACATTCCATGTTCTTCGTTTGGAAGACTTAATATTGTTAAAATGGCAATACTCTACAAATTTATCTATAGATTTAACAAAATTCCTATCAAACTCCTTGGCTGCTTTTTCTTATAGAAATTGATAAACTCCTAAAATGTGTATGGAAATAAAGGGACCCAGAAGATCCAATATAATCTTGAAAAATTAGTAAAGTTTGAAGACACACACTTATTAATTTCAAAACTTACTACAAAACTATAAAAATCAAGATAGTATAGTACTGGCATAAGGACAGAAAATGGATTAATGGAATTCAGAGTACTGCAGAAATAAACCCTCACATTTACATCAGCTTTTTTTTTTGGACAAAGGGGTCAAGGTAATTCAATGGAATGGAGGTAAAGAACAGTTTTCTTAACAAATGTGGTAGGGACAAGTGGATAGCCATTATATAAAAGAATGAAGTTAAGAATGAAGTTTGATGCCTACCTCATACCATATATAAAAGTTAATTCAAAATGGATGAAAGAACTAAATGAAAAGAGCTAAAACTACAAAACTCTTAGAAAATATACATGTAAATCTTTGTGACCTTGGGTTGGGCAAAGCGCTCTAGATATTTAACATCAAAAGAAAAGCAACAAAATTAAAAATTGGGTTGATCAAATCTAAAAGGTTTTATACTTCAAAGAACATCAAAGAAGTGAAAACACAACGTACAGAATGAGAGAAAATGACTTGCAGATCACATATTTGATAAGAAACTTATATATAGAATATATAAAGAATTCTTACAACCCAAAAGGACAACCCACCAGTTGCAGGGCATACCCCTGTAGTCCCAGCCACTCAGGAGGCGGAGGCAGGAGGATCTCTTTAGCCCAAAAGTTCAAGACCAATCTGAGGGGCTGGAGATAGAGCTCAGGGGTAGAGCAGTTGCCTAGCATTTACATATGTAAACTCTGGGTTCAATCCTCAGTGCTTCAAAGAAGGAGAAAAAATAAAATGACCAACCTGAAATAATATAAGACCTTGTCTCAAAATAAAACCCAATCTCCAAAGGGCAAAAGATTTGAACAGAGATTTCTCCAAAGGATATATACAGATGAACCATAAGCACATGAAAAGATTCTCTACATCATTATTCATTAGAGAAAAGTAAATCAAAAAACTACAAACTGTTTCACACTCCCTAAGAAGGTTAAAATTAGGCAATAACAAGTGCTGGTGAGCATGTGGAGAAATTGGAACACTCAAACATTGCTGGTAGAATTGTTGGTAGCTGCAGCCACTGTGGAAAACAATTGTCAGTTCTTCAAAATGTTAAATAGACATCACATGACCCAGCAATTCCACTCCTAGGTATGTATCCTACAAACTGAAAACAAGTCCATAAAAAACATGTGACTATCCATAGTAGCATTATTCATAATAGCCAAAAAGTAGAAACCCAAATGTCCATCAACAGATAGATGAACACAATATGATATATCCATACAGTGGAATATTACTTGCTAATAAAAACAGATGGAACGTGTTACAATATGGATGAAACTTTACACATTAAGGCAGCAAACAAAAGGCCTTGTATCATAGGATTCATCTATATGAAATGTTCAGAAATAGGTAAGTGTACATATAGTAAGTAGATTAGTAACCTCCAAAGACTGGAGAGTACTGGGAGGGAATAATGGAGGGGGGATTGCTATAGGTTTGGAGTTTCTATAGGATGGGGGTGATGAAAATGTTCTAAAAATATTGATAGTGGTGATGGCTGCACAGCTCTCTAAATATACTTTTTATTAAAAACTCTCACTGAATTAAAGACTTTAAAAGGATAAATTTATTATGTATTATAATCTTGATAAAACTATTTTTAAATGAATTCAAAAGTGCTCATGTAATGTCCATACTTTAATAGACTAAAAGTGAAATAAAGAAATAGTATAATTTTACATTAACATTTAATTATGTTGTTACCAAGCAATCAAAACTTAAAATTCCCAAGTAATATGTTAGTTTGAAGTACATAAATGCTTACATGAAGTGCTTTAGCAATCAATTCTCCACCTTCAGGTCCAATATCATTAAACATAAGATTTAAGTAAATGAGATACCTCTGTGTCTATGAGAGATAAAAAAGAAGCTATTATGCATGTATTATGGAAATCAATCATATACACATTTATTTAATTAAAAACACTGATCAAAGAAAATTTTTATGATCCAGAAAAACTGAATTCCAGCAAAAGCAACTACCATTAAGGAAAAATAATGAATTTTCAATATAAGTGAAAGAAAATTACTGTATTCACTTTTACCAACAACTCAAAAAGTGTGGACATGCTATGGTAATTCATAATGGTGGGGGAAGAATAGAGGTATTTTGGACTAGAGAGAGGAGTGAAGGAGGGGGCATTCTGCCGCGCAACCAGCACGTGAGCTTCATAAAAGAGGTTCGAAGCATAGAAATTAACTAGTGAGTTTTAAAATTAAGGAGACATACTCTCGTTACCTTTAATGCCCAGCTCCGGAGATGGCTTCTCCTAGCTCCCGCCTCCAGCCACCTAATGCGGTGAGCAAGAGAGGGAGAGCACGCCAGGGAGTGAGCTTTTATTGGGGAACAAAAAATTCAAGGGAAAATCCCATCCAATGAAGGTCGAGGAGAGCAGCATTCCAAGGTCAGGGTCAGTGACTGGTCTTCAGGTCAGTGGTCAGGCACACCTCCACACGGACAAGCCCTCGCCCCTGGGACAGGGTGGGGAAGGCTCTGACACAGTTGTCAAAGCTCCTCTCACCCAGCCAGGGAGGTGACTCAAATCACGGGCGAGAATGGCTTCCCACAGGGCATGGGTGTAGAAATGATTGTGGAATAAATTGGACATTATTACCCTATGTGCATATATGATTATATGACCTGGGTAACTCTACATCATGTATAACCAAACAAATGCGAAGTTATACTCCAATTATGTATGATGTGTCAAAAGGCATTCTACTTTCATGAATAACTAATTAGAACAAATTTTAAAATATTTAAAATTATTAAAAAGTGTGGACATACTTTATGTATTTAACAATGGTATACAAGTTTGCAAAAGATAACTCAGGAAATCTGGGTATCAGCTCTACTGAGACCAAATATGAATTTCCATGTATTTCAAGTATTATAAATATAGCACAGAGTCAGGACCTTGACATTTTGCATAAGTAGTGTTTGTGTACGTGCCATTAGACTAAGTAGTTTCACTGTAAACAGAACTAAGAATATTCTGTAGTCAAATAATACCTGAAGCAGGTTTGCAGCATAGTATGCACCAGCATCACTTAGAACGTTATATCTCACATCCAAACCTGAAAAACACAGATGAAACTTTACATTCCTTATAAAATAGAACACTGAAGAGCAGGAGGTACTTATTCTTAATCAAACATACCATTAATATATGGGCAAGTCTCTAAAATTTGGGAAAGAATCCCAAAATCTTCATCTGTTACTCTTTCTACTGGGATTAATCTATTGTTACCCGCGATGTTTAAGGTGATTCTTTTTTCCAATCTGTTAAAATACAAAAAAAAAAAAAAAAAAAGAAAAGGAAAGAAAGAAAAAAATGGAGAAAAGATTCTGAAATACAAAGATGACAGATACTGGAACCATGTAGTAGAATGACTTACAAGTATATAGTAGATTTTTACCAGGTAACTAAAAACTACTGGACATTCTATAGACTTTGCAAAGCACTTTAGTGTATTCTGTATGAATTAATTTCTCTCTTACACACACATACGCAAAGTATTCCCTCTTTATATTAACAACATAGACAATATTGATGATTTGCCTAAATTTGTCAGCTCACAAGAGCTAAAAGGAATCTGGAGCCCTGACTTGAGGGCTCTTGGTCTAGTGCTCTTCCCAGTATCCTATACCATCTCTAAGATCTACCAACAGTGTCACTCATCTACTTATTCATCTGAATCAAAACATTCATCCATTTTTACCCAGCTTTTTCATGGCTATAAAATCAGTGAGTAGCCCAGGACTTTCACACATCTAAGAATTAGTAAAACTACTAATGTAGTCAAATACTTATTTTTCTTACCCCTTTTTAATATCTTCATCCACTTCTTGGAGTACATGCAATATATAAGGATTTATTTTCTTGGAGTTTTCCAAACACAGATTACAATAATATTCCTGGAGCCCAGCAATAGATTCTGGAACTTTTAGAAAAATAAATGCATCTATCAACACAAATTATTCTAAAAGTTTTTTTCTCAATATACGTCCTTCAAAAGTGTGTGTGTTTGTGTGTGTGAGAGAGAGAGAGAGAGAGAGAGAGGGAGAGAATGTGTAAAAGAAAAGGAGAGAGAACTAAGGATAAAAGAGAAGAGAAATAAAAGCAATGGGAGACCGAATAAAAATGCTGATTTTCCTTATAAAGAATAATTTCTATGAGGGCCATTGATGCACCCACCAAGGCTGGGCAGACACTGGCTGATGACAGTGGAAATGACATAAAGGGAGAACTAACCTCTTTCCTTTGGTAGCTAAGGAAAATGCTGTCCAGAGAAATATTTTATGTAAAGTCATGTAATAATAATGGAATGTGCAAAATCAAACCGATTTCAGACTCTTCCCATTTATGAACTGTAAATATAAATGAAGCAAGTACAACAGATTTCACAAGTGTGTATGTATGTGTGTGTGTGTGTGTGTGTGTGTGTGTGTGTTGGCTGCACCATGGACCAGGATACCAGAAATGTATCAGATTTAGGAGTGGTTTTTGTGAAGGCATAAAGGAATCTTTGATTAGAGCCTAAACATTAGTTTAAGAAAGTTGCAAGAATATTTTTATTTAATTAGCTAGCCATATTTTAAAGCTTTGCTATATTTCCCTGTTACTCTTTTGATTTAAAATTCACCTGTGTTTTATATATGGAGATTTTATGGTGCCAATAATTGGCTTTCTATACTATATTCTTATTAGCATAAAAATATTAAATCAGTCTTCAAATTGTAAAGCAAATTGAAAGGCAAAACTAGGAAACAATAGCTGCACGGGAAAATGTCAAGAATCTAACCCAAATTTCGTTTTTTATCTACACCTCTGGCAGACATTTAAAAATTTCTAGAGAACGGGCCTACTTATTTTGGAGGCAGCTCCCTCCAGATGATCTTTTATGGCGGAACAGCCACATACTGGAAAATCCAAGAGTTGGAATCAGATTTTGTCGCCCTATCCATACTCTGTGGTACGTAACTTTAAGCAAATTAAATTCTCAGGGCTTAAATTTCCTTTTATGCTAAAGGCAGAGCATAATAATGCTTTGTTCCGGTGCAATGAGGATTAAGGTTCTTTATCCACCTCGTTTCACATCTATCAACACACACTTTAAAACAAGCCTAGTGACTGGAGAGGCCGAGGCAGGAAGATCTTGAGTTTGAGGCCAGACCTCTGCAACTTATTGAAACCCTGTCTCAGAATAAAAAATAAAAGGGGCTGGAGATGTAGGTAAAGCATCCCCGGGTTCAGTCTCTAGTTTCAAATAAATAAATAAATCAGAATCCAAATTTGAAATAGGGGACAGGTGTCATTCAGGCTAAGCTTTTTTCGTTAAACTAAGGCAGTCCAAAAGTGCAAAGTCAGAATGGTCTCCAGATTTCTCTTGCTCCACTGGTGTCTAACCAATGCGGCGACGAGCTCCCAAACACACCTTCCTTCAGACCCCGGAAAGCAGCTACGCGACTGGAGCGCACAGGGCACACCGCGGGCGGTCTGGACTTCTCTCCTGCCCGCGTTTGGAGACTCCGCAAAGTCTGGTCCAGAGTTGGGTTGCCCAAGGGCATCCTCCAGCCGCGCCGCTTTGGGCAGGCAGCTTGCTCGAGGAATCAGCCGGTGCGACACCGCCGCCCCTCGCGCGTTGCGTCCGGGCCAGGTGGGAGCACAACGGCACCCTCCTTCTTACCGTTCTCGCTCGCGGAGGCCGAGTCTGGGTTGGGGTTAGGGGTGAGAGTAGGAGTTGGGGTATCATCGGTCTCCACCGCCTGGGCGACGTTCTCCTGCAGGCTACTCGACATCCTGTGCTCTTCTAAACGCTGCGGCGGCGATATTGCCTTGGCAACTGATCGCCGAGCCGCGCCGCGCCATTGCCCGCCCAGGGGCGGTGCCTCAGGGAAAGAATAGGGCGGAGCCACGGCGCAGGCCCCAAGCGCCGATCCAGCGTGTTGCGCGCTCCTTGCTCCGCGCGCGTGGGCCTTGAGGCCCTGCTGGGCACGCGGAGAAGCAGATTCTGAGGCTCCTCGGCTACCCCGCCGGGGCTGAAAGGCACACTGAAGGAGGGCTCCCCGGCTCCTTTGCAGGGAGGAGTTCCCGGGATTTGGGTGGATATAGGACTAGGGGCTGGGGCTAGAGAGACGATTATGACACAGCCGTCACCCGCAAAGGGTGCACAGGTCTGCGGATGCCAAGCTCTGGAAACTGATGGTAGCACCAGCACGCGTTAAGGACGTGGCGGTATGGGAACATAAAGGGTTTTGTGGAGGGGCGGGACCATCCAGGAGGACTTTCTGGAGGAGGTGACAACCAAACTAGTCAAGAGGTAACCTGTCAGAGGGCACAACTGCTTAGTGTGTGTTGCAGAGGCGCAGGTACTTTGGGTGTACCCGGATCAGTTCAAGGAGTTGAGAAGCAGGCGCATCTTCCAAGGAGCACAACTGTGATGGAGCTGGAGCATCAACTGTTAAGGGACAGGGACCCCCAGAGCCCTCAGATCGCAAGACGCTGATGATGGAGGATGGATTTGACTGGACCTAGACGGGAAACCTAGTCACAGGCAGCTCCAGCAACCCAAGAGAGACTGGCTAAGGTGGGAGTCTTACCGCTCTGGTTTCACCGAAGGCGGCAAGAGGGGACAGAACCCAGTGATATTACAAAGTACTACTACGGTCAGGATGTGGGGCTTTTTTGAGTGTAGGAGGGAAACAAGGTAGGAAAAGGACAAGATCTTCTGTTTGGGAGTTGCCATAGACCGAAGCGAAGGAGATGGAGGGGACTTGTAGAGGACTGTGGAACTATTTGAGACTCCTCGCGGGTGAGAAAGTGGAGGAAAATGCGAAAGGTGAAAACAGGCCACTTATAATTAAGTATAGAATGCTGGACTAGTGCATGCAAGACCCCGGGTTCAGTCCCCAGAAAGAAACACACACACACACACACACACACACACGCACACCACACTTCTCCTTCAGCTAATTAGCTTTTTAAAACAATAAACATCGGAGTCCTTCCTCCCTTGTTCTACCCTACTGGGCGAATTCCTAACAAACCAGCTCTCCATCTCATGAAATTGTGCTCGACCTTGCTTGCCTATATGTTTTAGAGTATCCCTTGAAATGTCCTTTCTCCAGGTGAAACATGATGATTATAGGGAGCGCTGTATTCATTTATACTATGTACTCCCAACAAAGTTAAGAGGCAGCTTGAAATTCTAAAGCAAGAGTGAATCCAGTTCCAGTCCCCATGTGCCTTTTCCTATCTCTCCCTTACAGTATTTAGAATTAAGAAGGTAAGGGAAAGCAAAGCGGGTGAGGATGCTACTACTGAGGAAGGAAGGAATACTCTTCCAAGGAAACAATAAGTGTGAAATGTTAGAGTCTCTAAACAAGTCAGGATGGCTCCTGGTATTTTGCCAGGGGGAGTGGTTTGTGAGGTGGCCCCAGTGAGCCATTAAGTGTGGAGATTTCTTATTGGTTGACTGCTGTATCTAGTTTATGTTAATTAAGATAAGCTGTGTGGAATGTATATATACCACTCCTGTCCTACAATAAATGGCTCCCACTCCTGCTGTATCAATGTACATTAGTTGTTCATCACACCCCCTGCCCCACCCCTTTATTTTGCCGCAGCCGGACTGCGGCAGTGAAATCAGACTTTAGTTCCAGAGAGTGACTAATTAACAGAATAGAAAAGGAGCTGCCTTAAACCAAGCAGCACCTATAGCACTGTTTTTCCTCTCCATCTTAGCAAAACAAAGCAGAAACAATGAGAGAGCATTTACACCGAACTACAGTGATGTCAAATACATACCAAATAAAACGGTTGAAAGGACACTGACCACATCTACAACTAGTTTCCATCAATACATTTCTCCTTATTAGTGACTCCCAGGTGGAGGCGGATGTAGTCCAAAAAGCTCCCTCCTCTTAAGAATCACTGATGGGGAAAGATGTTATTGAACTGACTTAAAGGAAACTTGGGTGGGTTTGCTGAATACTTAAATTCAAGATTCCAGAGTGGAGGTATAATTTGATTCTGAACTTTCTAGAAATCAGAACAAAAGATAATATATGTTCCAATAAAGGGAAGTATTTGCATTTTTCTGGCTTCTTAGCCTAGGAAAGTTTAGTATGTATTCTTATATGAGTAACTTAATAAACAATGTACTATTGCTTGATAGAAGATCCATAAATATTTTTAAATAGTTAAAGCTTCTTTTGCTTTAACTCAATGTAACAATGGCATTCAATCATAATTTAAAGGTGTCATTTCTCTAGAAACCCAGATAATACTTATACAGAGAAAAGGCTTGCTGCCCAAAGCACATAGAAGCCAATACCACAGCACCCCGTTTTTGTGAAAAGAAAGGGTTTTCATGTCAAGGAGACAGGAAGCATTCTCAAATCTGTCTCCTCTCTGAGCTGTATCAAAGGAATTTAAGCAGCTTCGGGTAAGGAATTGTGCCCAGTAAAAGGGACCAGGGAAAATTGTGGATACTTTGTAACTGGGAAGTTTCCAGTCTCTTTGTTCTGGTCTGCTCTGCTCTGTAAGGTCCTGTTCTGATTATTTGTGTTCCACTCAATGAAGACTTTGGGTATGGCCAGGTTCTCAAAGTCATTTTAAGCCAAGTTGTAGGGTTCTGCACCTGTGTTCTGAAAACCAGCTTGGACAGTTTTTAGAAATAGGGAATTTGCTGTTTTATAGACCAGTTTCAATATGGCCCATCTAGGTATGTTTTCTTATAATTTAGAGATGGAACTCAAAGGATTCAGGGAATTCATACTTAACATATCCATCAGCTATCGTTTTTTTTTTTTTTTTTTCCTACCAGATGGCTCAACTGTGCTGCTATCAAGTGCTGGAACAGGGTAGACTTGTGGTTGAAATTTCTGACATTGAATTTTCTGAGGGGTATTTGGAGTGCTGGCTTCTGGTGTTATTCAGGCATGCATGTTTGGGTATTGAATATGCAGGTGGAAGAATTAATGTTTTGTTACTTAAAAATTTTTGGCCCATAGATAAGAGTGAGTCATGAAAATTCTATATTTTCTGATGAGATGGGAAAGTATGGTAGTGAAATACAGACCAATACCTTCTTGCTCATTATTAAAGGTAAGTTTGAAATAACAAATTCTTTAAAAATAAATAAACAAGATTTTTTTCCTGTGAATTGCCAGAGAGATGGTGTGAGTAGGGGAATGAAGAGTAGAAACACTCCAAAAAATGGGTAAAATGCCATTTTTGAGTCTATCTAAAGGAAATAAGTCCTGAGAAGCTGTTTAGATGAATAGTTTGGTGTTGGGCTGATGGGGGCACACTGCTGTACACAAGTGCTGACAATTCTGGCAAAGGGATATTCTGCTAAGGACTTTTTCATCTTTAGGCAACTGATCAGAGATTTTTTTTTTTTTTTAACCAGGGATTGAACCTAGGGGAACTTAACCATTGACACATCTGCAGCCCTTTTTATATTTTATTTTGAGATAGGGTCTCACTAAGCTGCTTAGTCCTTCCTAAGTTGCCGAGGCTGGCTTTTAACTTGCGATCCTCCTGACTCAGCCTCCTGAGCCGCTGGGATTTTAGACATATACCACTGACCCTGTCCTGATCAGAGATTTTCAAAAGGATGAAGTTACTGAATCCCAGCTTATCAGAACTCTGGGGATATTTTAAAGCCCATGATAAGGTGTTTTTTTTTTCCTCCTACCATTTTTCTCAAGCATAAAACATATCAAGGACCTAAAAATTCCAAACTCAACTCTTTTAAAAAAATTTTTTTAGTTGACGGACACAATACCTTTATTTTATTTATTTATCTTTATGTGGTGCTGAGGACTGAACCCAGGGCTTCACACATGCTAGGCAAGTGCTCTACCACTGAGCTACAACCCCAGCCCCCCCAAACTCTACTTTTATGATTGGCTGAAACTTTGAGATTCTCTTCACCCACTGTTAAATATCTAACTCTCTTATAACAAGAAGTTCACTCCAGCTTATATGGAACTTCATTTCAAGGGATTTTATAGTTTCCCAGAAGTTTGTTTTAATCAAAGAAAAGGGTAGTGTTACTATAAGGTAGACAAGACTTTACCCACTAGGATCCCTTTCTGAACCTGAAAATTAATTTGACATAAAATAGGTAAGCAGAAGAAAATCATACAAACAATATAAATTTGACAAGGTATGAGAGCCCTTGTAAGAAAATGTAGACCCAAAGAAGTGGCAAAACCTACATACTTTTAGATTATGTTGAACAAAGAAAGGCAATTCTGCAAAAGTAACAAAATTATGTGGGGAGGCTTAAGGAAGATTGGATTTTTTTTTTTTTTTTTTTTTTTTTGGTATCAGGGATTGAACCTAGGGGTGCTTAACCACTGATCACATCCCCAGACCATTTATTGATTGATGATTGATTGATTGATTGATTGATTCATTTATTTTGAGATACGGTCTCACTAAGTTGCTAAGACTGGCCATGAACTCCAGCCCCAGCCTTCCGAGTTGCTGGGATTATAGGCATGTGCCACCAAACCCATGGTGAATGCCTGGCTAGGAATTATTTTTAACAAGGTCTGTTTGTACAGAATTCTCTCAGCTATGACTCCCATTGAAGAGTGTTACCTTGCTCCTGATTTAGGGAGGCCATCTTTCACAGGGAAGTTTTTTATCTCTTGCTTTCTGAGAAAAACAGAAAGATTTTCCCATATAAAATGCTTATCAACTTTTACTAAAAAGGAAAAAAAAATTGCTGAGATTTGTATTGGTATTACATTGAAACTAGAGATTAAATTGGTGGATCTTTGACATTTCAATCTTATTGCATATTCTAATCCACGGGCATCCTTTATATCTTCATTTATTTAGGTTTTTAATTTCTTGTTTACAGCTTTGGTTCAAATCACTGCAATTTTAAAATATTGCTTAGGGTTTTAAGCCCATTCCTCCAGCCAGACTTAGAGATCTAAAACATGAAATCTACAGGTTCTCCACTTTTTAATCCAGCCTGTGACTTTCCCTACAGCCACTTAGTCAGCCAAAGTTTAATAGAGGACACCTATCTAGTGGGGAGAACTGATTCTAAACATGAGAACACTCCAGATTCTAACCTCCTATGCCAACCCACACAGGGCTGGTAAAAAGTTTGGCTAGCTCTCCTCCTCCCAGAAGTTCTTCTCTGCCTACCAGCCCCAAATGTGAAACATGCCAGGCATGAAAGGGCCCCATCACTGGCCTCTACTTACATAACAACAGCTGGTCCATGTCTAGAACTTCATTCTTTTAGCTGTCTTCAGCTTAGTGGCTTTAAGGAAAATAATAACATTTTAAAAATATGATTCCATTTCTATTTTTCCCTCAGTGTTATGGCAAAACAATGATATTTTGCAAACTTCTATAGCCTATCTATAAGCATTTTTAGAAACTGGTATTAGACACCCCCCCCCCCTTTTTCCATGTGAGTCAGCCTGTTAGGAGAAAGAGGAGCCTATACTTTAATTCTTATCCTAACATGAAATACAAAAGTCTAAATTTTAGGTTGCATAATAATTTCAAGCACCAAATTTAATCAGTGAGATCTTAATTTTGTTTTCTTTCATAGAGATAGCAAATTAGACCGGAGATTTCTGATGTTTTTCTTTTCATAGTATTTTGGATTTTGAATATTTGAACTTTTCTCCAAAATAATGTCAAAGGATTTACTAAAATTACAAGAACATTCACCTAAAGTTCTTCTGAGAAATGATCCACCACAGGTCACAAATAGGACATTCTTCATTGACGCTTCTAATCAAAGCCTGACTGCCATTCCACTGGAGATCTTGGCATTAAAGGAATTAGAAGAAGTGCATTTGGAAAATAACCAGATTGAAGCAATACCCGAGGACATTCAGCAATTAAAGAATGTCAGGATCCTCTACCTGAATAAGAACAAACTGCACGACCTGTGCCTGGAGCTGGGGACGCTGAGCAACCTGGAGGGCCTGGACCTCAGTTACAACCCCCTCCTCTCCTCTTCCCTCCCAGTCATCAGCAGCCTCCGTTCCCTGCGGGAGCTCCGGCTCTACCAGACTGACCTGAGGGAGATTCCCATCCTGATCTGCAAAAGCCTTCGCCATCTGGAACTGCTGGGACTGGCTGGAAATCACCTGGAATCGCTACCGAAGGAAATAGTGAACCAGACCAAACTAAGGGAAATCTACCTGAGGAAAAACCAGTTCAAGGAGTTCCCGCAGGAACTCTGTGTCCTCTACGACCTGGAGATCATCGACCTGGATGAGAACAAACTAAATGCCATCCCAGAGGAAATCGGGAATCTGACGAGGTTGCAGAAGTTCTATGTGGCTTATAACAACCTGACCTTTTTGCCCGAGTCTCTGGGCCAGTGTAGGAAAATATCAGTGCTCGATTTATCGCACAACCTCCTCCATTCCCTCCCGCGTACCTTTAGTGAGCTCCTGGAGATGACGGAAATGGGGCTGAGTGGGAACCGCCTCGAGAAGGTGCCGCGCCTTATCTGCAAGTGGACCTCGCTGCACCTGCTCTACCTGCGCGACACCGGCCTGTGCGCGCTGCGGCGCTCCTTTAAGCGGCTGGACAACTTGCGCTTCCTGGATCTCAGCCAGAACCACCTCGACCACTTTCCGAAGCTGATCTGTGGGCTGAAGAATCTGGAAATCCTGGCGATGGATGATAATCAAATAGGGAAGGTACTGACTCCCTTTCCTGCTGTCACTATCTTCTTGGGGCTCTTCCTGCCCTAAGTTAGGGTGTTCTGTGTGTAAACAGAAAATCTGAACTGACTTTATGGGTGAAAATTCAGTGTGACCAAATATATCCTCCAGGGGAGGGGTACTTTGTACTGTTTTCCTCTAAATAGTAGTGGCGATCATAAATAGCAGCTAATATTTAATTAGAACCTGTATGTGCCAGTCACCAAGCTAAGTATTTTACACCTCTTATTTTGTTTAATCCTCACAATGACTTTTTTGTCTTTGGTGGTACATGAGGAAAATGACAGGCAGGGAGCTAAACTTGTCCAAAGCCACACAGCCTGAAAGTGATAGAGCCAAGAGGCCAACCCAGAGTTGCTGGCCTCCAGGGTCTATAATAAAGTACACTTCCTAATAGGGTTTCCATAAACAGCAGGTTTTTCTTATACATACATTTAGACCTAAATGTTCCTATTCATGGGAAACTGCACAGATTTGTTCCTAATCTCCCACATGTGTGCAGGCTTATGGTTCAAATTGGTCTTATAGCATTGTTGATAATCATGAAGTATGGGAGACAATCTGAATGTCCCTTAGTAGAGGACTGGGCAAAATCAACTGTGGTACATTTGTAACATAGAATGCTGTACCATAATCTAAGGACTGGAACTATATATGTGAAGGTGGATGGAACTCAAATTTTATATTAAGAACCACAGTGAATATTTTCTGGTTCTGAGCACTTTAGATCAGCAGTTCTTTTTTCTTTTTTTTTTTTTTAAGAGAGAGAGAGAGAGAAAATTTTTTAATATTTATTTTTTAGTTTTCAGCGGACACAACATCTTTGTTTGTATGTGGTGCTGAGGAGGATCGAACCCGGGCCGCACGCATGCCAGGCAAGCGCGCTACCACTTGAGCCACATCCTCAGCCTAGAACTCAAATTTTAGTATTGACTAAAAAGCCACAAAATTGTGGAACTTTATTATACCATTTGTACATTTTTAAATCACAAAAAAATCACACATGTATACATTCATATATATGTATACATATACATACAACACATTTTTATGGATATTTGTGTACATAATAAAAGTATGTAAATATAAATTGAAAGAAAAATGACTAAATTCTTGATGGTAGATGTCTCTTGGAAGAGAAAAGAAAGTCAACAAAATGGGGAAGGGATAATAAGGAAGCAACTTTAATATTAGAATTTCATTGTATTTATTAAAAGATTTGTGCAGTGGGCATGCATGTGTTTTTATCTTTATTATTTCTTAATATTTGAAAATTAAAAAGAATAGAGTTTCTATTTCAAGCAAAGGGCAACTGCAGAGAGAGAAAAGGGAGACTTTGGAAATCAAAATCTGGAACCAAGTAATAGTTCTGATTTTCCTGGCCATGGGCACCAATCTCATATATTCACCATAAGTTATAAAAAATCCTGGGCCTTATGGATTTATATTTTAAATATTTGTGGGGGGTAATGGGGATTGCACTCAGGGGCACTCAACCACTGAGTCACATCCCCAGCCTATTTTGTATTTTATTTAGAGACAGGGTCTTACTGAGTTGCTTAGTGCCTCCACGTTGCTGAGGCTGGCTTTAAACTCGAAATCCTCCTGTCTCAGCCTCCCAAACTGCTCAGATTACAGGCATACACTACCCTGCCCAGCTATATTTTAAATATTTTTGATTTGCAATTTCTAAAACTTTTTCCTAATTGCTATGGGGTTTTCTTTTCTTTTTAGGCTTCACGATTTTATTTTACAGAAAAGTATTCAATATATACTTATTGAGCACCCTATTCCTGTGGGGTTTTAAAACTACATTTTGATGGTAATCTGAAATTTACCAAGAGAATTTAAGACTTACTCTCTACTAAGGTAACACCCCACCTTGGAGAATTTTCAAGGTTCCGTGGTACATGGCAGCAAATTTCCCCCCACTATTCAACTGCTTATATAAGAAATCATTTTTAGTGGATAAGCCTTTTATTCTAGAGTTGAAGTGAAAGTACTTAAAACATAAAGTGCTTTGGGGAAAGAAAACACATTGACTTCATTCCTATCAAGTTATGAAGGATACCTAATCCTTTCTTGAGAAATTTTAAGAGGTTAGAGTCATACAGAGACTGCTTGTTGACAAAGATAAGCCTTATTCAATACCAAGAGTTACTGTAAATGAAACTGTACTGCAATGTAGACATGATAAATATTTTTATATTGAACACAAAAATCTCTATGTACCATTGCTTTTATCCTTAATTATTCTGATGGCATGTTTTGTGCTTTTGTCCCTCTTTCTAGTTTTCCTCTTAGGCTAATTCTACCTGTAACCTCCAGGGCCTTTCTCTCCTTAATGACAGGTGGCCTTCAAACCAGCTTCTTATCTCTCCCATCCCAAAATCTCAGCTGATGGGTTTTTGGCTCTTGAAGCCTGACCAATGGCTTCTGTTTGCCTAGGTGGACAAAAAATAGCTGATGTTCGATGCATGGACTTAATTTGTATTGTAGATTTATATTAAGGGAGAAAACCAAAACAATGGATTCAATATCAAATTGGCATAGCTCAATTATAGTGTCAGCAATCGTTCCCCTCCATTGATGCGCTGTAGATTCACTCTATATCCAGATTTATTTCCATTATACTTTAATATGACTATGAGGAATCTAAATATTGGATCCTGAAAAAAATCTCTGAACATTCAATATGCTTTGAAAAAGAAAAGCTAAACCTATGCATTAAGTAAACAGCAATAAGAGCAAAATCACTAGGTTAAAATAAAGTTATTAGATTGAAAAATCTTTTCCCATTGTTTTGAATTGCACTAAACACAGGTGCTTTCTTCTTCTTCTCCATCTTCTTGGTATTGAGGGTTGAACCCAGAGATGCTTTATCATTTAGCTACATCTGCAGTCCTTTTTATTTATTATTCATTTATTTATTTTGAATTTTATTTCAGTGTCTTGCTAAGTTGCTGAGGCCGGTCTGGAACTTGCTATTCTTCTGCCTTAGCCTCCTGGGTTGCTGGGATTATAGGCATGTGCTACCTTATGCCCAGCCTGCAGGTGCTTTGTATGGAAGGAAATGAAGTGCCTGATGAAGAATTTTTAAAAACCAAGGAGAAGAGCTTAAACATCAATTTCTCTGAAGATTGACTTATCTGATTTTTTAAAGTAAATAAATAGCTGTGTATGATGGCACATGATTGTTAATCCCAGTGGCCTGGGAGGCTGAGGCAAGAGGATGGCAAGTTTAAGGCCAGCCTCAAACTAGTGGTAATAATAATAATAATAATAACAACAACAACAATGATAAAATAAAAATACATTTTTAAAAAAGTAAATTTTTAAAATTGAAAACATTTTAAAAGTATTGGGAAAGTGAGACCATATTTTATGCACACACAAAAGAAAAATGTCTTCAGGATGATTCCAGGTGTATGAGACTTTAACAGATAAGTTGTACATCTGGTGGGCTTTTCCCCCGCCAACTGTGAGTGACCGGTTCACCAGTGATCTTCCACCCAGCTGTCGAGGTGTGAGGGAGAGGGGACCTGCATTGAGCTGAGGTCAAACCAGAAAGGAAAGCAGGGTAGCAGATTAGGGAATGGGTGGGAAGAATGCCCAGGGGCTGAGGCAGGGAACTAGGAGGAAGGATTTCCTCTGGTCAGGAATAAAACCAAATTCAGAAGTATGTGAGAAGCAGATGAGATGCACAGATGGGCTTTTTTCTTTCTATAAGAAAATCTGTAACACAATTAATAGGGTGATTATGTCATATATATTTTAAGAATGAGAATTTTTCCACGAGGTTCAAGAGAGCCAGAAAGAGACTGATTGGTGAACATGATAGTCATGCAGATTATGATTTGATGAAAGAAGGGAATCTGATGTTTAGAAGTATTGGCTGAAGGTAATGAGCTTGTCTTTCCAGGTGATGGGTAACTAGGAGCTGGGTGGCTAGTTATCACAGTGGTGGCACAGAGAACCTCCCTATAGGCTTCCAACCTCAAAAGTTTGGCCATCTTCGAGATGCCCACCCATTACCCATATGGGGCACAGGAGCTTTGGTATTCACTGGAAGGCAGAACGTGACAAGTGAGGGTCATAATAGTCTCCACTAAATGCTCTAATTGGAAATGGTATGAACACGTTTGCTTCCAACTGAAATTTCAACGGGGGTTTCAAAATTGCTCAATTAAAGCCTTTAGGGCCCCGATGTGGTGGCACACGCCTGTAAACCCAGTGATTCAAGAGGCTCAGGCAGGAGGATTACAAGTTGGAAGTCAGCAAGACCTTGTCTCAAAATAAAAAATAAATAAATAAAAGATATGGGGAGGTAGCTCAGCGAAAAAGCACCCCTGGGTTCAATCCTCGGTACCACAATAAATAAAGTCTTTACCATAAAGGATGAGAGTCACATTACTAAATTTGTCAGTTGTGGAAACTGAATTTATTAAGAATTAATTATCACTGCAATATCGTACAACCACAGTACCTTTTCTTTTAAAGGTATCAGGCATTTACCATATGAGAGTTCATAAATTTGCAATAAAGCATGTTATAATCACTCTGATTTAAAGTAGTGCATAAAAGTGGGAACCAGAAAGGTGATAGGAAAAAAGATAGAATTTCAGAGTTATGATCTACAAGTAAATATACTGCATGTGTAAACTTTTCACAGTAAGAGATGCTGACTTGCCCTACTTTTCATTTAGCAATCTGCCTCAATATCAGAAGTGGCATTTATTTTCTGACTGTTAAAGATAATCTTAATTTTAAACTTATCTCTTTGGAATACTTCTAGTTGCCTTCGGAGTTGGGCTTACTTTCGAAACTGAAGATACTTGGACTATCAGGAAATGAGTTCTCTTCCTTCCCAGAGGAAATCTTTTCTTTGGTGTCTCTAGAGAAGTTATACATGGGGCAAGACCAGGGATCCAAGCTTACCCAAGTGCCAGAACACATTGGGAAATTACAGGTAAGTCCCAAATGAAGACAGAAGCAGGCCACTTACCCCTAAATTCGGGGCCTAAGAAAACACAAGGTGCCCCAGAAGCTGGGTATGGGATCATCCATGTTAGATTTTCAGTTCTAAACAAGTAGTCATTTTTACACTTTGAGGTTTTGCTGTCACTGAACAACCCATACCACATGATGATCGCTGCTGGATATGTCATGCCATATTTCTTTCCATTGTGGGTTTGGTCATGTTCCAGTTGTAGAAATTAAGTTACACTTCTTTCAAATACATTTGCATGTTGGTAAGTAGCCCCCTTAAGACTGTACTATTTTCAAGCTAGAGTACTGTACTAATGGCACAACCAGGAGTCTGCATTCTGTTGGAAAGGATTCCCTCCAAGAGGTGGTGTGAGCTCCCTCCCTGCTTGGAGATGAGCAAATTATGTTGCACCAGGTTCCTGCTGATGATGGGTCCACAGTACTGTGCTGAATCCTACCAAAGTAACAAGATAGCTTCATTAAGAGGAGGCTTACTGGCATCTTTTTATATATTCATCCTTTAAGGGACTGGTGTTTTCCCCATGTTACTGAATTCTTAATAATGATAAAGTAGATAGCTGGATGCGGTGGTGCATGCCTGTAATCCAGTGATTTGAGAGACTGAGTCAGGAAGATTGCAAGTTTGAGGCCAGTCTCAGCAATTTATTTTGAGACAGTGAGACCCTGCCTCAAAAAAAAAAAAAAAAAAAAAAAAAAAGGAAAGGGCTAGGGATGTAGCTCAGTGATAAAGTAACTATGGATTCAATTCCCAGAATAGATAGATGATAGATAGGATAGATAGATGATAGATAGAAGTGTGGGCTACCATAAAACCCCCCAGTTATGGAACTGACCAACATGGCATGTATAACAGGTAATCCTCACTGTGACATAGAAGTCCTGTTCCTAATTCCCCATGCCTCTACCCTATGCTCATAGAACAACTTTTGTCTTCTAGCTCCTTGTACATGTTATACCACAATCATAGGGTGGAATGCAAACACTGAATTTTTAGCCAGGAAAGTTGGTAATGCTTATTGAACCCAAACCCATTATCAGTGCATTTTGTCTACTTCTACTTAAGTCAATGTTAGGTTGATAGCTGAAGCAATTATAATTCTCTTATAACTTCTGTGGATAACTAGTTATTCAAAGGAAGGAAGTGATAAATTGTCCACGCTATTTTTCTGTAAAGTTGTCGTAAGATAAATTTTCCATATTTTCTTTTCCCCAAATAAATGGAAACTAAATCTTTATTTAAAAATAATTTTAATAGTTGATGTTGGTCTTTCAAATTTGTGTTTCCTTTTATCCCAATGCATGATTTTCCATTGAGAGCTCATAGGCACTCAGAGGGGATTTTGATTATTATAATTCATTTTTCAAGATAAGGATTATTGTGGTGTACTATCATGTTTTTTCAGAGTCTTAAAGAATTGTATGTAGAGAACAATCATCTGGAGTTCCTGCCCATATCCTTGGGAACAATGCCTAACCTGGAAGTTCTTGATTGTCGGCACAATTTGCTTAAGCAACTCCCAAATGCCATTTGCCAAGCACAAGGTGAGAAACTTAGTAGACTCACACCTAGGAGAGTATGCAGTCAACAGTCCCATGATGAACATCTTCCTTGCCTTACTAAAGATCCATCTCAGTGCTTGGAGAACCGAGCCCTGTCCCACTACCTCCTTTCAGGGCTCACTAGTGAGTGGCGTGGGAGAGGCCAGGTGCCCTGATCATGAGATTAAGAGTTTTATACATGTAGGTTGTAATTTGAGTTGGAAAGAGAAATTAATAGCAACTGCTGAAAAAATTAGCATAAGTACACCTACTATCAGCAGTAGTTTACTGAATACTTCCTATATGTCAGAATTTTGAGTGGGGGTCCTGCAATAAATTTTCATATAGGACACCAGTCACTTGAATAAAAGGAAAAGTATTGGCACAGAATGGTGAAATCAAGAATGGGACTTTTGCAACTATATGATTGACTTGGAAAATCACATAACAAGCCAGGCACGGTCACACACAGCTGTAATTCTAGACACTCCTGAAAGCCTGAGGTAGGAGGATCACAAGTTCAAGGCCAGCCTCAGCAACTTAGTGAGATCCTCTCTCAAAAAATAAAATATAGATTCCGACCATTCATTATAGTATGGTTACCATTTTGATGAAGTTTTGTGTGCATGTATGTGTAGATCTTCATGTGCCTTGATAGTTTCTGTACCAAAAAAAAAAAAAAAGTACCCAAACATTTCCACTGGGCTAAATTGTTTCTTATCTGCATATGCATCCATCCATAGAACCATTTATCTGTCTACCTAGCCACTCATCCATCCATCTACTTAACAAGCTTTTGTTGAGTACCTACTAGGACCAGATGAAATTTTTTGGCCATATTTTGATGAATCTCCAGGTTTACTGACATGTTTTTAAACTGTGGCTATTCAATGAAAGGAGGTGAAGAAATATGAGAGTTGAATTTGTCACCTGCGTACAAGACATTTCAAAAATCAAGGTCAGGTGTGGGATATAGTATGCCTTAGAGATGCTCCTGTTCTTGGTCCCTGGAGGAGTAAAACATTCTCAAAATTTTCAGTGTTAACTCTCTTCCTGTCCCTAGTATTTGTTTACACTAGCCTAAACACTTCCTGTTGTTATGAAGAAGAGAATTTGGTTTGCCCCAATAAATCAGATGCCTCTTATACATGGCAGGAAACAAGTGTTTCAAAATAACTGGACTAACAAATGCATATTTTAATTTTGCCTGATTTTTATTATGCGTATGATTTGTATTATGTTCATGAAACATACAAATCAAAATTTCCCTGTATTTATCTTCTCTTCGATAAATCAAGTAGAGAAAAGTAGCTGAGTTTGTAAGCCATTTATCAAGGAGTATGATTTAAATAAAATTTTTCTCTTCTACCTCCTTTATACTGAGTATTATCAAACTTTTCATCTCTGCCTATAGGATTAATGAAATATTGCATTTTGGTGTTTCATTTGCATTTGTTTCCATTGCGTGATGTTGAGCATCTTTCCCAGGTTTACTAGTCATTTTTATTTCTCTTTCAGTGAAGAGTTTAAGATAATTCCTTGAAAAATATAGATCTGAATCATTATAGTATGTTATCATTTTGTAAAGTTTTATGTGCATGTATCTGTAGACCTGCATGTGCCTAGATACTTTCTGTAAGGACTCACAGAAATCTGATAACAGTGGTTTCTTGTGACAGTTAAGATGTGACAGGGTTGCTATGAAAGGGGGGAATCATTTTTATACTTTGTCTGCTGCTTTGGTATGCATACATTTTTATTTATATGAGGTTACTTTTATACCAGAAAGTATACAATTTTTCAAAAAATAATTGCTTATTAACTTGAGAGTGGTAGGGAAATGACTATGTGAGTCAGATGCCCCACGTTCCACATCCATGTGTCCAACCCTGGAGTGATAATATGAAGTAGCAAGGCTTGTAGGCTACTGAAGTGTCCTGTCCAAAGGCACAAAGTGAGGTCTTCCAATATTCTGCTGATCTAAGAAACAAGTCTGAGGGCATTTTTTTCCAGTGAGCCGTCAGTTGGCAACTACTGCTATAAAATAAAAGCAAAACAAAACAAAGACGACATCCACTCTTAGAAGGATAAGAATATCCAATTGCTGAATTTCTACTTTCTCTATTATGAGGAAGAAGACATGTAGAGATGGGCTTTTTATTAGATGAAATGAAAATATTTGTCTGTTCTTGTACATCTGTGCTCTGATTTCTCTTACTAATGCAAAGGTGGATCCCTCAGATACTGGGCAGGTTTAGGAGCCAAGTTAATGTTGCTTGTTCTTAAGATAAAAATCACTATTTGACAAAGTTAATTGGGTAACTTCCCTTTAGTTACACCAGAGAGTCATTATTATTCCCTTTACATATACATATATGGTTATTATTATTATTATTATTTATTTATTTATTGTGGTGCTGGGGATTGAACCAGGGCCTTGTGCATGCTAGGCTCTACCACTGAGCCACATCCCCAACCAAAATCCATTTGAAACAAAAATCTTTCTAGGCTTGAAAGAGTTGCTGCTAGAGGACAACTTGCTCACCCATCTCCCAGAGAATTTGGACCGCCTGGTGAACCTTAAGGTTCTTACACTGATGGACAACCCCATGGAAGATCCCCCCGAAGAAGTGTGTGCTCAAGGAAATGAGGCCATATGGAACCACCTTAAGGAAAACAGAAGAAAGAAAATAATGGTCATAAAGGTAAAATCAGCACAGATTCTTGATAACACATTCGCAGTTGCTTTGGAGGGGGTCTAGTGTTAAACAAATTAGAGATTTTTCTATGGAGCCGTTTTTATACTTCTCTACCTTGTCCTTCTTGGGAAGAGACTCTTTTTTTAAATATTTATTTTTTAGTTGTAGTTGGACACAATACCTTTGTTTTATTTATTATTTTAATGTGGTGCTGAGGATCGAACCCAGGGCCTCACATGTCCTAGGTGAGTGCTCTTCCACTGAGCCACAACCCCAGCCTCAGGGACTCTGAGGTACTTTCATATCCACATGGAATTTTTGAGAGAACTTTTAAATTTTGGCTCTCATATTTTTGTCCTGTATGTCTCCTATCTCTTGTCAAATAAGAAACCAATACATAAGCAAAGGAAACCAAAACTTTAAATCCCAAGACAATCTAAAATTCTTGAACTATTTCACTTGAGTGAAAAAAGCTTGTATTAACAAAGGCAGAAAGTTGAAGTTGAAAAATTTTAAATGAAAGCATTTGTGGATCAGAAGCTCAGAGACCAGAGTTTTGCTGAGCCAGGGCCAGGATCAAAGGGCAAGGAGCCTTGGGATCCTGCTCTTGGCCATTAAGTCCATGAGACATAGAATGTGCCAGACAGACCAGGAGGTGTCCACTTCAGTCAGTGCTGGGGATTGAACCCAGAGGTACTTTACCACTGAGTACTTTACCCCAGCTCCTTTTGTTTTTTATGTTGAGACATGGTCTCACTAAGTTGCTCAGGATGGCCTCGAACTTGCAATCCTCCTGCCTCAGCCTCCCTAGTTGCTGGCTTGACAAGCCTGTCAATGTTCTTTATTCTTCAGCTGGTCAAGTCCCCATCATCTCATACCAGTGTCACTACATTAGTCCCCAAATTGTCATCCCTGCTTCCACATCCACTTACCCTATAATCTGCCTCCACTCAAGAGTCATACAAAGCCTGTTAAAATAGATTGGATAGCACTACTCTTTGCTGAAATCAACAATTCTTCTTTCACCTGGAGCAAGAATCAAAGTCTTTGGTCTGAAAGATTCTTTATCAATGACTCTCAACCCTATCAGACTTACTACCCTCCCTTTCATAAGAAATATTTGTGATATCTCCTTTTCTAAAATTTTAATAGAAAATATCACCTATCAAAACATAATTTCAATAAATCAAAATAATGCACAAATTACAACATAAAGAAATTTTATAATTGTGTTATAAATTATAAAGTAAATTAGAATTTTTTTTTGTACTGGGAATTGAACCCAGGGCCGCTTCACCACTGAGCCACATCCCCAGCCCTTTTTAATATTTTATTTAGAGATAAGGTCTCACTGAGTTACTTAGAACGTCCATAAATTGCTAAGGCTGGCTTTGAACTCATGATCCTCCTGCCTCAGCCTCCCAAGTTGCTGAAATTACAGGCAAGGGCCACTGCACCCAGCGTAACCTGCATTTCTTTTTTTTTTTTTTTTTAATTTTTTATTGTTGGCTGTTCAAAACATTACATAGTTCTTGATATATCATATTTCACACTTTGATTCAAGTGGGTTATGAGCTCCCATTTTTACCCCATATACAGATTGCAGAATTACATCAGTTACACATCCATTGATTTACATATTGCCATACTAGTGTCTGTTGTGTTCTGCTGCCTTTCCTATCCTCTACTATCCCCCCTCCCCTCCCCTCCCCTCCCCTCTTCTCTCTCTGCCCCCTCTACTGACATTCATTTGTCCCCCTTGTATTATTTTTCCCTTTCCCCTCACTTCCTCTTGTATGTACTTTTGTATAACTCTGAGGGTCTCCTTCCATTTCCATGCAATTTCCCTTCTCTCTCCCTTTCCCTCCCACCTCTCATCCCTGTTTAATGTTAATCTTCTTCTTGTGCTCTTCGATCCTACTCTGTTCTTAGTTACTCTCCTTATATCAAAGAAGACATTTGGCATTTGTTTTTTAGGGATTGGCTAGCTTCACTTAGCATAATCTGCTCTAGTGCCATCCATTTCCCTGTAAATTCTATGATTTTGTCATTTTTTAATGCAGAGTAATACTCCATTGTGTATAAATGCCACATTTTTTTTATCCATTCATCCATTGAAGGGCATCTAGGTTGGTTCCACAGTCTAGCTATTGTGAATTGTGCTGCTATGAACATCGATGTAGCAGTGTCCCTGTAGCATGCTCTTTTTAGGTCTTTAGGGAATAGACCGAGAAGGGGAATAGCTGGGTCAAATGGTGGCTCCATTCCCAGCTTTCCAAGAAATCTCCATACTGCTTTCCAAATTGGCTGCACCAATTTGCAGTCCCACCAGCAATGTACAAGTGTACCCTTTTCCCCACATCCTCGCCAGCACTTGTTGTTGTTTGACTTCATAATGGCTGCCAATCTAACTGGAGTGAGATGGTATCTTAGGGTGGTTTTGATTTGCATTTCTCTGACTGCTAGAGATGGTGAGCATTTTTTCATGTACTTGTTGATTGATTGTATGTCCTCCTCTGAGAAGTGTCTGTTCAGGTCCTTGGCCCATTTGTTGATTGGGTTGTTTGTTCTCTTATTGTCTAATTTTTTGAGTTCTTTGTATACTCTGGATATTAGGGCTCTATCTGAAGTGTGAGGAGTAAAGATTTGTTCCCAGGATGTAGGCTCTCTATTTACCTCTCTTATTGTTTCTTTTGCTGAGAAAAAACTTTTTAGTTTGAGTAAGTCCCATTTGTTGATTCTAGTTATTAACTTTTGTGCTATGGGTGTCCTATTGAGGAATTTGGAGCCCGACCCCACAGTATGTAGATCGTAGCCAACTTTTTCTTCTATCAGACGGCGTGTCTCTGATTTGATATCAAGCTCCTTGATCCATTTTGAATTAACTTTTGTGCATGGCGAGAGAAAGGGATTCAGTTTCATTTTGTTGCATATGGATTTCCAGTTTTCCCAGCACCATTTGTTGAAGATGCTATCCTTCCTCCATTGCATGCTTTTAGCCCCTTTATCAAATATAAGATAGTTGTAGTTTTGTGGATTGGTTTCTGTGTCCTCTATTCTGTACCATTGGTCCACCCGCCTGTTTTGGTACCAGTACCATGCTGTTTTTGTTACTATTGCTCTGTAGTATAGTTTGAAGTCTGGTATCGCTATACCGCCTGATTCACACTTCCTGCTTAGCATTGTTTTTGCTATTCTGGGTCTTTTATTTTTCCGTATGAATTTCATGATTGCTTTCTCTATTTCTACAAGAAATGCCGTTGGGATTTTGATTGGCATTGCATTAAACCTATAGAGAACTTTTGGTAATATCGCCATTTTGATGATGTTAGTTCTGCCTATCCATGAACAGGGTATATTTTTCCATCTTCTAAGATCTTCTTCTATTTCTCTCTTTAGGGTTCTGTAGTTTTCATTGTATAGGTCTTTCACCTCTTTTGTTAGGTTGATTCCCAAGTATTTTATTTTTTTTGAAGATATTGTGAATGGAGTGGTTGTCCTCATTTCCATTTCAGAGGATTTGTCGCTGATATACAGGAATGCCTTTGATTTATGCATGCTGATTTTATATCCTGCCACTTTGCTGAATTCATTTATTAGCTCTAATAGTTTCTTTGTAGACCCTTTTGGGTCTGCTAGGTATAGAATCATGTCATCTGCAAATAGTGATAATTTAAGTTCTTCTTTTCCTATTTTTATGCCTTTAATTTCTTTCGTCTGTCTAATTGCTCTGGCCAGTGTTTCGAGAACTATGTTGAACAGAAGTGGTGAAAGAGGGCATCCCTGTCTTGTTCCAGATTTTAGAGGGAATGCCTTCAATTTTTCTCCATTCAGAATGATGCTAGCCTGAGGCTTAGCATAGATTGCTTTTACAATATTGAGGTATGTTCCTGTTATCCCTAGTTTTTCTAGAGGTTTGAACATAAAGGGATGCTGTACTTTGTCGAATGCTTTTTCCGCATCAATCGAGATGATCATATGGTTCTTATTTTTAAGTCTATTGATGTGGTGAATAACATTTATTGATTTCCGTATATTGAACCAGCCTTGCATCCCAGGGATGAATCCTACTTGATCATGGTGCACAATTTTTTTGATATGTTTTTGTATCCGATTCGCCAGAATTTTATTGAGGATTTTTGCATCTAGGTTCATTAGAGATATTGGTCTGTAGTTTTCTTTCTTTGAAGTGTCTTTGTCTGGTTTAGGTATCAGGGTGATGTTGGCCTCGTAGAATGAATTTGGAAGTTCTCCCTCTTTTTCTATTTCCTGAAGTAGCTTGAAAAGTATTGGTATTAGTTCCTCTTTAAAGGTTTTGTAAAACTCTGCTGTATACCCATCCGGTCCTGGGCTTTTCTTAGTTGGTAGTCTTTTGATGGTTTCTTCTATTTCCTCAATTGATATTGGTCTGTTTAGGTTGTCTATATCCTCCTGACTCAATCTGGGCAGATCATATGACTTAAGAAATTTATCGATGCCTTCACTATCTTCTAATTTATTGGAGTATAAGGATTCAAAATAATTTTTGATTATCTTCTGTATTTCTGAAGTGTCTGTTGTGATATTGCCTTTTTCATCCCGTATGCTAGTAATTTGAGTTCTCTCTCTTCTTCTCTTCGCTAGCATGGCTAAGGGTCTGTCGATTTTGTTTATTTTTTCAAAGAACCAACTTTTAGTTTTGTCAATTTTTTCAATTGTTTCTTTTGTTTCGATTTCATTAATTTCAGCTCTGATTTTAATTATTTCTTGCCTTCTACTTCTTTTGCTGTTGTTTTGCTCTTCTTTTTCTAGGATTTTGAGATAAAGTATGAGATCATTTATTTGTTGGTTTTTTCTTTTTTTAAGGAATGAACTCCAAGCAATGAATTTTCCTCTTAGAACTGCTTTCAATGTGTCCCATAGATTCCGATATGTTGTGTCAGTGTTTTCATTAATCTCTAAGAATTTTTTAATTTCCTCCTTGATGTCTTCTATAACCCATTGATCATTCAGTAACCTATTGTTCA